ACAAAATTAATTAAAAAGCTCACCAAATTCTTTAATCAAGTTTTCATGGCAACTAAAGCTTTTATAGCATGAAAAGCTAATGAAACTTAGAAAAAAAAATTGTCATAATTAATTTAAAAATGTTACTCAAACACGTCAATTATACAATATAAGGAAATTTTGTTTTAATTTAATATTAAAGTGACTAGCTTAAAATATTTTCAAAGCTTTCACAAGTTGTACTGTAATCGATTTACGCTTGCTCAGTTGGTTTTAAAATTGCAATTATGAAAGCAGCTCTTGCGCTGAAAATAATAAAATTTGTATGAATTAAATAAAATGAAGCAATTACATAATAAAAGCATATTTACCTCATTTCTTTAATTCCACAGGAGAACTAGTGGTCTACCGAAAAACTTGAAAATATATTTTTTTGCATTATACTCATTTTCGCTACTTCAATACAAATACGCATAGCCTGCTATACTACCATTAATTAAATTTATAAAGCGCTGAGCATAGCAAATTTGATGGCTTCCTCAATTAAAAATGACTTCAAAAAATACAAAACAAAACATTGCCAAATTTACAGATTAAACAACAACAATGCTAATCGATTTGCAAAAATTGAATCAAAGGAGTTTTTCCTGCATCGCGTAGTTTTTATTACATACTTAGTAAATAAATTACAAATTAATGAGCAAACTCATTAAAATCTAGTTAAGCTGCCGTAGAAAAACGCCACAAAACGTGCTCATCAGCTGACAAGTGAACCGAGGCCAAGAAAAGCTCTAGTCACGAAAGCGATATTTTGCACAAAAAGCGAAAATTATATAAATTGTTGAATTCACAAAACCAATTGTTAAATTTATGTCGGCACGAGTGTATATAACTATTATATAAAATAATTGCTGACTCCAAAATTAAAAAAGAAAATATATAAAAAGAAATATTTTTTCTTCATTTCACTTAGTTGCAAATAGTTTGAAGGCCGAACAATCGAAAGTCTGTTATAGAATATAAGATTGTACAATTTTAGACTGTAGAAAACCAAGGAAGTCTGAAAACGTAGCCGGACAACACTTTGCTAGTCCTTTCTAGACACCTTGTTTGACATAAATAACCCTCAAGTCAAATTAAGGTTACTCAGTAAGGAAAAATAAAAGTTATAATGATTTTGATCGATCAGTGTATATGGCAGCTAAATGTTATAGTGATCCGACAAGTGAGCAGCTTCTTGGGGGAAAAGAGGACGTGTGAGAAATTTCACATCGATTGTGATTAGCGCTGATCAAACGATTCGGCTATTGATCAATAGCAGCACTTACAATTCTATTAATATAGATGGCGCTGCTCTCTCTACACTCTCTCTCTAAATTTCTGTGAGGTATTTGATAAGTCATGTTCTCCAACTCTGACCACAAGTTGTAGTCCAAAGGATTCAAATCTGGTGGTTTTTGCTTTGTGTCCTGATGCAGAATCTTACTGGAAGTTACAATACTCTCCATCGAAAAAAAGATTGCTTAAATGCTTTATCACGCCTTCTATAACATCCTATCGAAATGCTTTTGCCGCATTTTTAACCTCTTTTTTACAGAACCAGCAGACTCCCTACGTTGATGACCACGTTGAACCCTTGGAATAAAATTTTTTGCATTTTTGAAAGTTTTTGTCCGAATTTGGTCTTGTTGTAATTCATTATAAATATTACAACCGAATTGATAGCAAGACTAAGAACATATGTATGTATGGATATACTTTATAGGGTCTCCTACGTTTCCGTCTGAATGTTACAAACTTCGCAGCAAACTTAATATAACCTATTCAGCATATAACTAGCGTATAGCTGAAAGGAAATGTTACGAGAGTAGCAAGTAGGTCTAAACCAAAACAGAACGGTTTATCGAAAAACGGCCGGATGTTTTTGGAAAAGTTAATAGTTAAAAGCTTACGAACCCTATAGAGTATCATGTAAAAAAGTGCAACAATATACAGAAACACGCAATCTAAATTCCATTCTATATCCCAGATGTAGTTTTCAGTCTCAATTTAACAATTGCCATATCACTTATTACAAACTTTTGGATGATGAAGAATATATCAAAATAAAAGTAAGGTTATTTTAGACATGAAAAAATGCTATGAGAATTTTTAGTATAAGCTAAAATATCGTCATTTTCGCCATATCTTATATAGGATACTATATAATTTAATCTCTTTTAAGAACGATTATAAGCACTTTTTCCTTTTTGTTTTTTTGAGAAGAAAATCTCTAGCTGTCAGAAATTGTAAATTAATCATAAACTATTACAAAAGATAAAATAAATGAAAAATAAAAAAGGAAAAAAGTGAAAAAAATAAATAATATTGGCGCTGCTAATTAAAGTAACACCGACTAATAAGCGGTTTTAGAGAAATTAATATAATTTATTGAGCTAAAGCTAAAACTGAGACTACTTTGCATTGCCGTTTAGCAATTAATAATACACAACGAACATAATAACAACAAACAAGGCAACAACTAAATTAGCATCTGCTGTGCAGTAGTGAAATTTTTTTTGTCCGATCAACACTAAATCAATGCCACAGTCGTAAACAAAGTCAACTTCTAACAGCAAATAGGCCACCGCAGCAGCAATGGCACCTAACATAAGTATACACGCACAACAGTATAAACAACAACATAATAGATGAGTATATATGCCTTTCTGCAAACCTCAAACCAATATTCTATGTCTTACTGAACACCACCAAGTGGGAAATTTTAGCATTGAGGTTGCGAAAATCTCTACAAAATTGAAGCATGTTTGCGATTTTAGCGATGAAGTCAGCCTTTTGGCATCTATCGAAATGGCAACAGCAACAATAACAGCTAAAGCAACAAATGACGGTAATTAACACAAATGAAACGTGTTTTTTAACGCTTGAATGGCCAGCATTGCGTTCCGTTGTCTTGTGTTGTTGTTGTTGTTGTATAGCATAGCGATGGTGGAATTGCTAATGTTGATCGCGGAGGCGCAGACGCAGGCGTGAACGCTGTGTCAAAACTTACATTCAATCAGCCTGACCACTGGACCACAACTGGATTGATGCCGAGTGGTGGCGCTGGTGGTTTGCCGCTTTTTGCTCATTTTGGTTTATTTTTCGGCGTTGGCCGCGACTTGTATTGCTTTACTGATTGATAATTTATGCTAATTTATGACAAAACAAGTTCATAATTTTTGTTCATATTTTACGAGCCGCACATTGCAAACAGGTAATGTGGTGAAACAAGTTTGATATTTGCCAAGAAGATGGACCATTGTTGATTGGAATGAATTGAGAGATTAGTAAAAGTCAAATAATTAATTGCGAAAGGATGTGATCGAAAACAAAGTGTCCATATATTGTAAGAGGCCATTGAGTAGTTAGAATTTTTCGTAGTTTTGAAAACATCGCAATAATATTTATTGAGCTGTTGCAAATTTTATAGATTAGCTTTGTACAGAACATAATAATGACTTACGTTTATTTGTCTGGCAATTGTCAATAGAATAACATATATGTATATGTATACTCATGTATATACGAATTTAGTTTAGCTGGTGTATTACGATTTTAATTTTTTCCCAACTATTCATTTGTGACATTATTATTTGCAACAATAGGAAATTGCTTTAAAACGTTCGTAGAGTTGCCCAACTTTTTAAATTAAAATATAGTTTAAATTTTAATTTAATTTAAATTTAAATTTTTTTTAAATTAATTTAAATCTTTACAGGTACATTAACTCGTTTGTAGTTTTAGTAGATCTACTTGTAGCTTCAAGCTGCAAAGCATTTTGTTACCTGATTAAGGCGTGAGTTCATTTAGTATTGCTACTAATTGCATATCGTTTTACTCAGAAATACTGATTACAAGCGGTCTTGCACAATTCCTGGCTACTATTTTGCAGGGTATTGTTCTACCAGAAATAAAAAATTAATAAGCTGTCAAATTACTATTTCAATAAATTATAAATAATAAATTTTCCAACAAATTTTTGAAATTTAAAATCTTTTAAATTTTGGAATATTGAAAATTTTCAAAATTTTTATAAAAACTAGCCAAAATATTTTTTAAGTTTTTCATTCAGTATCTTTAAGTATCTTATATTTACAATATATGGAATTAAATTCTTTTAAGATTTTTGTTTAAATATTTGATTTTATTTAATGGAGAAATCTGCTAATAAAGGACTTACTTTCAAATATCAATAAAAATTTGGCAACCCTAATAAATTTTTTATTCTCCCAAATTTAAATGTTTTCAAAGTAAAAACTAATAGATTTTTGAAAATAAAAAATGTTTTATGGGACAACCCTACTAAAGTTTTTACTCCCCCAAATTTTAATTCCGTAATAACAATAAATATTTTTTTGAGTCAAAATTCTATTAATAAAGCACATATTTTTTTTTAAATCAACTAACATAATTTATGTGGCAACACTACCAAATTTTTACATTCCCAAAATTACTTTCGTAATAACAATAAATGTTCTCAAAGAAATCTATTAATAAATCACATATTTTCAAAAACTTACCAAAATAAATGTATTTGGCAACCCAATAAATTATTTATTTATCCAAATTTAAATGTTTTCAAGGTATAAAATCTATTAATAAAGCATATATTTTTGAAAATCAAAAATGTTTTATCTGGCAACCCTACTAAGATTTGAAGATTTTTAAATTAATTAAAAACGATTATATGAAAATTTGTAACTATTTATCCAAATATAAAAAATAAATAAATAAAGTTTTTTAATTCTAAAAATTTATTTTTATAAAAAATATATACTTTTGAAATAACTGAAATTTAGTACCAAACTTTTTTATTGATATTTTACACACTTATAATTAAAAAATAACTAGTTAGCTTATTCATTTGCATCTACCGTTATTTGATTTTGAATGTTTGCCACCGATAGCTTACGGATTTTATTACTGGCGCAATATTAATTATGGTTTTAAATATAAATTATAAAAATGGGCAAGCTTACCGATTTAATTTCCTCGCTTGATTTCGATTTCGCAATACTATAAAAAGAAAATAGAAAAAATAAACGTTTAGTTAATAAAAAAAACCGTTATATTTAATATATGCACATAATTTTAAGCTGAAACTACAAGTGGCTAAATATGAAGTAAGCGGGATAAAATAAACAGTGCAAAAAGATATGTTAATAAATGGAAGAAATTTGGAGCAAAAATATTACAAGATATTTTTTAATAAAACAACATAAATATGTATTTGAAAATATGCAAAAAAGAGTGAAAATAATATTAGTTACAAAAATGATGTATGTATATCAGCATGAAGTTTAGTTGAAAAGACAGTTGGAACTACACTGTTTTCACAAAGGCTCTATAACCCAAAATTCAGTAGATAGCGGAGCAACTAAAACATCATCGAAGAAAATGCATTTCCGTCAAAAACATCAACGACAACCATTAATAAAAACCATTTACCGTTCGACAAAAAAACCAAAAAACTCATACAACAGTAAGCCTCATTTCCTCAGAATGTAGATCAAAATTTAGGAGAGGAAACTCAGCGGAAAAAGTTTAGAGCTTCAGTGCTAGGTAGCTTTACATACTGTCTCCAATACTTAAGCCACATTTCATTGGCCTTTTTATAAATAAGCAAGCACCGTTCATCTAATAAGAAACCGCTATAATGTTGCATGGTCTATGGTACTTTACGTTTCTACTGCACTTTCTTGGGAAAAATGAAATGCGCTTTTAAAACTGAAGCTCATAGACTCATATTCTGATATACTTTTAACACTCATAGACCACAATCGCTTTGAGAGTGTTTCCGCTTTACACACACTGAATAGAAATTGAATGGAAAGAAGCGTACAAAAGACTTAAGCAGCAAACTCCACACATCACTTGAGATGAATAAGATGAAGAAAAGTAGATGAGTATATGAGTCGAGGAAATATGTACATATGTATGTACGATGTACAGAAAAAAGCACAAGCGAACTGCTTTAAAACGGACTGTTGAAACTTCGATGAGAAAAGTATATGAAGAATAGCAGAAAAATACAAAATATGAATGGAATAGAATAAAAAGTCTAAAACGTAAATGGGAAATAGAACTATTACATACATATACATATGTATATATACATAAAAATGTAGCTGGACCTAAGAAGTCAGCAAACTTTAGTCTTTGCAACTGAAATAAATAATATAACTACAACAACAGAAACATAACAGAATTGCCAGTCTCTATAAAAATAAATAAACTAGCGAAAAACAGCAACCGACGCTATTTAGGTCTATAACAACAACAACTCTTTAGAAGTGTTATTTTGCCTACTCGTAGGCATATGCAAGCAGAGTAATTTTGCAAATAAAAAAGTAAAAAAAAAAATGTGTTGGCATTGATTGTGGAAAAATGAAAAGCTTCAATTTATAGGCACGTTTTTTAAATAAAACTTTAATTTAACACCTATAAACATACATACGCATAAATATATAAATCTATAAGAATTTAAGCTTGTAATTTGCATTAGGGTGGTTATAATTTTTAGAACTTTAATTTCACGAATTTTTCTGCTGAATAGCTAATCCTTAGTGCTGAATAAAAAATACAGAAATTTAAAAAAAAAATTATTTACGTTTATCTTAGAAGACACTGCATAAAATTTCTATATATAACATTGTAGAAAATTATTATATATGTAGTAACGATATTAATGTCAAAAATAGTTTTATGATAGATTTTTCAAAAAAGTTAAATCGAATTGGGACCAATTAAGGAAAATATTAGTAAAATAATATAAATACAAATGGTGTTATATATAAGAGCTAATTACGTAAGGGTCATTATGACCCGAAGCATTTTCATTGGGTTAAGTGGTAGCTGCTTATAATATTTTTTAATATATTTTAACGGTAAGATAAAAGTACGAACAACTTTTTTAATAACTTGAATATATATTTTTAAAATTTATCTTAAATTTTTTATGATTACGGCGCCTATAAGACCACTCTGACTGAGATCTTAAAAATATAAATATATAATTTAAAAATCAAAATTTAGTGTCATGATTATTAATGTTTTTTATGGGTTATTTCATTAACTGGATACATTTTGTTTCGAATATCTCAAAATTTTAACTAAGTATGCCCATCTATTGGAAAAAAATATATAATTAACAATTGAAAAAACACCAAGTATCACATATAGAGTTACAATATATCCACTTGTGAATTTGAAAACCTCATTTTTAAAGCTATACCTATATCGAATGCAAATATATTTATGAATATTTTCCGATAAATAGTATTTGGAAAAATTTTTTAACTTAGTGTAATCGGCTCACAAAATTTTTAACGCGTTTTTCACGAATAGGATATATTTGGCAGGCAATTACTGATGGAATTAGATTTTTAACTACCGCAAAATATTTGACTGGTCTTTCGATCATTGCTTTATTCATTTACAATTTTGTAAATCCACATATTTTTATTTATTCACAAAAAAAAGATTTTTTTCTGACTTGCAATTGGATATAACCCCATAAAGTTAAAAAACTGTCATAGTACTTGCTATTAAGAACTAACAAATACTATACCAGCTTAATGTGTGTACGTATGTACATATGTACTCTGCATGCTTGTAAATATATCAACCATTAAGCAATAATTCAAAGTCAGCTAAAAACATGCTTGACCTAAAACAAAAGTCCAAGTTTAAAATGCGTGCAATATATGTGCATATATTAACATACATATTATATATATATATATATATATATATATACATTTACATAAAAAGCACATGCTTTATATATCGTATTGTTGTTGTGCAAAATGCTGCGTGTTATTCTGCTCATTTGGACATACGCTCATTTTCAATGCAATCATTGGTAGCAAATTGAATCGGCGGTATTTTGTTACATGCGATAATAATTGCAAACTCTTTTAAACACATACAATATTTATATGTTAAAATAAATATCTTGCGGAAGTCGAATGGAAAAGAGCATATTTTAAAAATCGTGTGAAATAATTATAGAACACCTCTATAAATATGCCTTGCAAATCTGTGTATGTACGCATAAGTATAAATGCAGGTATGTATGAGTATAAGTGTAGCGACCAACTGGCACGATCGGACAGTAGAGTTTATTTTAAGAGCTCTACAAGCAAGTAAATATGTATAACCAATATTTAAATCGAGGTTATGAGGTAATGGTCAGCTTAATAGCAGAAACACGCTGCGCTAATATAAGTGCATGCACACATACACATATTGTATACATCAGCAAAAATCTTAAAATTTACATATGTAACATACATACATACCAAAACACATTCTAACATCTGGCAAAGTAACGCTTAGAACTTATAACCGCTAATAGACTCGTTCAAATCTTATTTACTTCGCGTTTTTTCTTTCCAATTTAGCCTGTCAAATTAGCATTGAAATGCGAAAATGCGGGAAATTAGCGAAAATATAAAATTAATTAGTCAGCGCAAGCGAAATAAAAGAACATAACAGTTGTTTAGAAAAAAAAAATTGTACTTTGCGGATCTGTTGTGGACCGATCTGTGTGTGCTAACAGCTGACAGCTGAAAGGTTATTAATAAGCGTCTTAATTGTTTGCATGTTTGGCTTACGTCAATACATGCTTGTAGAACTTTTAAAGTGATAAATAGCGTGCCAAAGTAGAATGAATGGAATAAAATTATTCAAACATATAAAATTAATTACTTATTGTAATTAAAAATTTAATTGTTTTACGTTTTTTACGTAGAAAACAAAACAATATAGTAATAGCAATCTGAACACCAAGTGTGACAGTCAAAAAAAAAATTATTTTTGGAAATTACAACAACAAAAAACTACTTAACAAATTGGTTTAACATTTTAAGAGTGTATTTATAAATTTTTCAAGAATTCACTGAAAAAATTTTGAAAATATGTCCTTCACTACTCGGTGATTCCACACTTACATATATATATTTCAGATTTCATGAAGATATCTCGTCAAATAAAAAAGTGTTCCATACAAGCACTTAAATCCGACCGTTCATTTTGTATGGTAGGAGTATAGCGAATTTCCAGATCGATATCTCAAAAACTGGGCGCCTATTCCGCATATATACAGATAGACGGACAGATAGACGAATATGGCTAAATCGACATAGTTCATCAAGCTGATCATTTATACATACGAGTATATACACTTTATAGAACCTTCTGACTTCTCATTTTGGGTGTTATAAATATCGTGGAAAACTTTAGAGGGTAAGTTAGACTCACATATATTTAATTTAAAAGTATAAAGCATTGTAGGTTAGGATAAGGAAGCTTAGAGTTTATAAAGGATAACGCACAATTTTTAAGTGACTTTTAATTAAAATAAAAACAATTAAAATGTATTCAAATATACTACGCCCGATTGCTTTCTTTTGGTATATGGTAATACCACCATTTACACTTTTTTATGTTTTTATAAAACAAATTTATGTTTATTTAACTTTACAACTTACTAATCAGCTCCAAAATCGTCCGAAAACGAAAAATTTTATATTACTTAAAGCTTATGCTCAATCCAAAATTATACTTGAAATCACATATATATCCTCTAAAACAAAGTATTGACTTCAATAACAAGTGAAGCTACAAGTCACCACACCTCAAACAATATTTTAAGTGAAGATTGCAGGTGAAAGAACAAAGAAAAAATAAATAAATAAAAAGGAAAATAAAATCAAAATCATTAACAATATTCAAAGTAAACAAAAACTCTTTCTATATAAAAAAAAAAAAATTGGTTTAAAACACAACAACGAAATTTGAAAATATGTATAAACATCCAAAGTACAACGCGCACTTAACAAAGCAGCTGCTTTAAATAACATTGGAATAAACTTTTTTGAGATGCGAAAACATTCCACTAGCTGTACCAAATTGTGCCTGCCTTTATGTACATACAAGTACTTTGCACATAAGTAAATAACAACGCAGTTAAATAAAAAGAGGTGTGTTTGGGAAGTAAACTCTTCAGCTTT